ACCCAAAAAAATACCGCCGTGTGCATCACCATTCCCTCTTCTCCCCCCTCATAAGAAAGCCTTCGTTTCTCAGCCCTCCCCAACCAACTCCACTGCAGAAACTCTCGAAGACATTTTAAAACCATCTAATCATGACCCAAGATGACATACAAACACCCCAACCCTCCCCTAATCTCCCGAATCCCATTCCTTCTGCACCCAAAGTAACTGCCGACATCCATCCTCCTCCTGCTCGTGCCCCCCCCCCCTTTCCTCCCACTCTCTCCCAACACATCGCATTCCCCTCTGTCTCTGCCGCACCACCCCCTCCCCCCCTCCCTCATAACCCACTATCCCTCCCGCTTCCCCCTGGATGTGGCCCTTTGTTACAGGAACCCCTTTCCCTGGATTCTCTCCCTCCTGACGTTTTCCACTGAATCTGTGACCTAAGAGTGCTATATGACCTTTGATATCTAGTACATAGGATTTGCTTTGTAACCATCAACCAGTTAACCAATACGTGATATTAACATGAATTATGGATGAAAATGACATGAAATAGACACATAAATCAATCAAAATGAACAGCTTAAAACAGGGGGATATTAAGTAACAAAAATAAAACTGTCTCTAATAGCCTTCGATGTCTGACCAATTTCTTATATCCAATAAATTCCAGACGTATTTTCGGTTATGTTGGGGCTTCAGACCTATCGGTAACATAGACGAAAACAAATAGGTCAGGAATGCTGGGTTGGAAATATGCGTAAATAATAGAGATGATGAAGAGTAAATAAAAGAAAAAAGAAAAAAGGGGAAAAATGAAAAAAAAGAAAGAAAAAGAAAGAAAGAGAGAGAAAAAGAAAGAAAAAAATGGAAGGAAAAGAAAAAAGAAAAGAAAATGTATAACGAAAACGAAAAAAAAAAAAATAATAATAAATAAATAAAATATATACACATCACTAGAAAATATGTTAAAATGTAAAGTAAATGACTACATAATTATCTACAGCCTTTTACAAGCCGTCATAAGAAATGCTTGTTTGTATATATGTGTCTGATGCAGACACCAGTGGTTTCCATTTTTTCTCATGTGATGGCACCCAGCAGTATATATCGGCATCCTCTTCTTTAACCATCGTAGATTCATCTAAGTGCACCGTCGCCTCTTTCAAGATTTTTTACTGCTGCTCAAAATAAAATAAACATTACAACACGCTTAAACGATTCACCTACCTTTACCTCTTTACCTCTCCCCCAGTCTAATTCCTTTTCCAGTCTGAATCCAGAGACTCCAACGTCGACCACTTCCCCGGTGCCTCCCCTCCTCCTCCTCACTCTGTCGCACCAGGCAATCGAATGTTCCACTCCATCTTCTCCCTCCACACCCTCTCCTCCACCCACCTCTCCCTCCGCTTCTCAGACATCTATTTCCTCTTCTTCTCCTCACAAGAAAACCTTTGTTTCCCAGACCTCCCCCCACTCCCCTCCAGGAACTCTTGAAGACATCCAAAACTTCCTAAACATGATCCAAGAGAATGCTCCACTTCCTCGCCCTCCATCTAATCCCTCTAATCCCATTCGCTTTACATTTAAAGTATTTGCCGATATCCATCCTCCTCAAGTTCCCCCTCCGATTCACCCCAAAAATACCGTCGTGTGCATCACCATCCCCTCTTCCTTCCCCTTCATCCTAAATACCCCCACTTAGATGCTCACGTGACTCTCTTGTGCCTCAACAATGTCCTTCTCTGGACCCCCCCCCCCTCCTGACATTCTTCCTGATACTTCACCACCTTCCTCTGTTCCTTTATTTCATTCTTAGGATTCTTCTCCTACTTCTACAACTATCGTTTCTTACCGTATTACCCTCTCACCCTCTATACCCTTCTCACGTTCTACAACCTTTGGCATCTACACACATCTTATGCTAATCGTTCACTCATTTCCACCCATTTCCCCACAATACTTTCGCACAGTGCTATATGGCCTTTGTCTAGCTCACTTATCTCTTCTAACTACTAACCATTAACCTACCTATACGTGAGTCGTACTTTGAAAATCGCCATTCTATACGGCATAATTTGCTTCATTTTGCTTTTATCATGTGTTTTTCTTTTTTTCTTTTTCTATACAACATAATTTGCTTCAATTTGTTTTTATCATGTGTTTTTCTTTTTTTTTTCTTTTTCGCTGGCGAGTAAGAAATGCAGGAATAGATGTGAACATGAAAGTAGTAAAGGAAGTTGGTGATACGATTGTTTAACGATAATTTTTATAGAATAATGGGATATACTGATTCGTCAGCAACAATGAACCTATCTCTAATAAGAGATTACTGATATAAAAATAATGAAACAACAACTGAAAGAAAGCTAAAAAGATTAAACGAAGATATAGGAAAGGGAGACACTTCCAGCATATCAAGAGCAGCCTGGGTCTCCTTCCTCGGACGCTTAAATGCCCTCCACTTGAGCTAATCACCCTTTGCCCTTAACCCTTTGCCCTTAACCCTTCACCTTCTATCAACTTCTGCCAAGCCCTTCGCTACCCCATTTACTCCCCTCTTTCTACTCCTTTCGCTACTATACTATCCTAAAATATCGCATGACCCTTAGAATCTAAGACATTTTGTTCTAATAAAGAACTTCTTTAACCCCCCCTCCCCTCCCTCCACAATACTTCACCACAGTGCTATGTGACTTTTGGTGTCGAGCACATTTACTTGTTGAAAACATTGAGCATGAATATCAAGAACTGAATCTTGACTGCGCATCCACCGGAGTTCCCAGGCCTGCGCGAATGATGCTTTCTTTAAAAAAAAAGGCTTAAAGGCCCTTGCACGTGATAGTTCGGCGGTCCACGTGTTCTCCGAAATTACGCGACCCTCTCCTGATCACTCGGGGTTTTATTCAGCAAGGCCGCACACACAGGGCCGTCGGGAGGGCAGCATTGCAGGGGGGAGTAATGTTTCAAATTTGCCGACAAAGGGCGCGGTCATTGGGCGTTGGGCATTGGTGACTTTATTAGTCACACAATAACTCTATGTTCTGTGAACCATTCGTAGAGAGCGCCGACTAATTAGCAGCATAAATTGTCAAAATTTACCAATTTGCCGAAAAAATGCCGGTTTAAGGTTTCATTTGCCGACAGATGCTTTTTTCAGGGGGGTGTCACAACCCCCACACCCCCCGTCGCGACGGCCCTGCGCACACACAACAAATCTGATAAGATGGTACAAGTCACTTTGGCTTCACTGGGGGACTTTTTTATCATTACATACTACCAGTAGTGTGAATCTGATTGTTTATCTATGATAAGTAATAGTTAAAAAATAACACTACATAAGCGAATATAACTTATCAATCAATCAAATAAGCCTTTACTTGCTTTAATATATATATATATATATATATATATATATATATATATATATATATATATATATATATATTACCATTCGTTTAGTGATAACGCAGCGGATGGAGCGAACAAAAAGGTGGTAATTGTGCACTAATTCAGTTAACTAGACTGATTATGACAAAGATAGGTGCAACATTATCAGCAATAATAACAATGACAATGGCACAATTACAGTATCACAGGATTGATGATGGCACTATTTGAGCAATTCAAATGAAGACAATTTAATTGTATATTGAATTAAACGCACCCTGTATTCGTCATCTCTCTCATTAAAAGAAAAAAAAGAATATTGTTAAAAAGAAGAATATCTCTTCTCACTCATAATATATAAAATTAGTGTTCTTATCAATTATGAAACAAATAAAGATTGATTTTAATGGCCTATCTGAGGCTACAGTCCCCCATTTTTCTTTTAAAAATCCCGCTCAAGTATCCCAAGGATTCACTAAAGAAATAATTTAATTGGAATAAAAACGCCATAATTAGGACAGAGTCAATATTTCCTCCTCGACATCATAAATCCAAACCTTTTAAATGGAGATACAAAACCATTAATATTAGTTTTTCAACATAATAACAATATAACATAATAACAATATAACAATAATAACATAATAACAATAATAACAATATAACATCATATAATGACTTAATAACATAATAATAATAATAACATATTAACAATATAACATAATAACGATATAACATAATAACAATATAACAACATCGCAACATCGTAAATATTACGCAACACCCCAAACCTCACCCGTTCAAGCTAATGTTTTTTTTTTTTTCTTTTTTTTTGAAGAACAAAGTTGTATTCGAAGAGACATTAAAAGGACGTATAAAAGACAAGCAATAAATGAGAAAAAACCAAGGTCACGGAGGGTTCAAAGCAGTGTTGCCATCCGATACGACTTTCACGCGCTAGATCTAGAATTTTCGTCATGATCTAGCATGAAATTTGCCCCCCAAAAAGTAGTTTACCCTATATTTAACTTTCTTTTTTTCCCCAAATCCTTTATTTTTGAGCAACGGAACCATCACTCACACATCTACCAATTTCTTAAACTCCCCCTTTAGAGCAGGAAAAGGAAATCTAGCGCTTTTCTTTCCAAGTCCAACCTAGCGACTTTCTGCTAATATCGCTAAACATGACACAGGCGCGCTTGGGGAGGTAAGATAAGATAAGATTCCATTAAGTTTCGCTTTCTTTTTCGCTCAAATAGATAACGCATGACTGTTACTATGGTCTTTCTGTGGTCACGGAGGAGTATTTAGGTGTTGGGATTATCGCTTATTGTTCAAATAGGGAAAGAAATCAGACTAAAAGATAAAAAAAAGTTTTTACATAAGCTCGAATTACGTCATCAAACAAGTCCTAAGAATTTATCTTATTAACAGCTTAACGGAGGTCATGGCATTGGGAAGACACTCATAATTCTATAAAAAAAAAGCACAAAAACAAATAAACAGAATTATACCAAAAAACAAAAACAAAAACACAAAAACAAGAAAAAAATATATAAAAGCAACAGGTTAGTGAGCAACCTTGAACCACGTCATGAATTTTTTTTTTCTTATCATCCTTACAAAGATTATTTTACAACTTCATGCACTATTTATCAGTCAGGCTCGGAGGGGCATTTTGGCCATTCTAGTAGAGGCGGCTCGTCAGGTAAGGTGGGCACTGGGGATTCTAGCACGGGTCGGTGTGGATTTTTTCTTTACATTCGTTATCATCAAGGGCCTAATGACGACGGGGGGGGGGGGGGGTCCACGCTTCGCTTCCAGCCACGAGGGTCCCTCTCGGCGGGCCTCCGGGCTGGCGCACAACCATGTATGCACATGTATGTACATGTATATAAATGTATATATACATATATATATATATATATATACATACACATACATACATACATACGTATATATATATATATATATATATATATATACACACACACATATATATGCATATACATGTACATCCATCCATATGCACATGCATACTTATATACATACAAACAAACATCAAACAAACAAATAAACAAACATACAAACATACATACATACATACATACATATATACATGCATACATATATACATGCATACATACATACACACACACACACACACACACACACACACACACACACACACACACACACACACACACACACACACACACACACACACACACACACTCACTCACACCCACATCCACATCCACACCTACACCCACACTTACACCCACACCCACACCTACACCCACACCCACACCTACACCTACACCCACACCCACACCCACACCCACACCTACACCTACACCCACACCTACACCTACACCCACACCCACACCCACACCCACACCTACACCCACACCCACACCTACACCTACACCCACACCTACACCTACACCTACACCCACACCTACACCTACACCCACACCCACACCTACACCCACACCCACACCTATGCCCACACCCACACCCACACCTACACCCACAGCCACATCCACATCCACATCCACACCCACATTCACTCACACTCACACTCACACTCACACTCACACTCACACTCACACTCACACTCACACTCACTCACTCACTCACACTCACTCACTCACTCACTCACTCACTCACTCACTCACTCACACACACACACACACACACACACACACACACACACACACACACACACACACACACACACACACACATATATATATATATATATAATTATATTTAAGGATAAATGGATAGATGATTTTATAAACCAGTTCAGAATTCAGCAAGGCTCTCCTAGGCTTACCTAATAGAAATGGTGTTATGTATGTTTTATATCCACAAAAAAAAATATATATAAACAGGCAATTTCAATATTGATTCTGGCTACCATGCACCAGGACATTGTGTTTCATTACTGATTTACAATGATTAAACATTTGGAAAAAGTAGCTTAGTCTTTCATTCATTATGAAATTATTTGCAATCATTTACTTTTTAAATTTTATTATTCAAGTCAGTCATCACACTCATACTTTTTTCTCATTATCAGAATATTCAGAAATTTATGCAGCTATTGTTTCTCTAGTATTTTCAGAAGAATGAAGCATGTAGGAGTCATAGGAGCTGGGGCAGCAGGCCTTTGCGCGGCTCGGCACATCCAGGCCAACCAGGGCATGGTGCCCATCGTGTGGGAACAATCAGAGAAGATTGGAGGAACGTGGAACTACACACCGCAGACTGGCACTGATAAGCACGGATTACCGATTCATTCAAGCATGTACCAGAACCTGAAGTAAGCATGGAATCTACAGGAAGCATATATGAATTCTTTGAAGGAATGGAAACTAAGTATATGGACTGGATAACCAACTGATTTGATTTGTATTTTAATGTTGAGTTTCTCTGTGTCCTCTTTTCAGGACGAATCTCCCCAAGGAAGTGATGGCTTTTCCTGATTTTCCGTTCCCAGAGGGAGATGAATCTTTCGTCCACCACTCGGAAGTCCAGAAGTACCTAGAAATTTATTCACAGCACTTCGATCTTTATCCATACATTAAGGTAATTTACCTAGTAAATTGCAGTGTAAGTAATTACAAGTTCTATGTATAAGCGGCTATTATTTTCTAATACCGGTAGTTTAGTCTGTACCCAGAAATATATTATTTTTTCATATGAAAAAGTCATAGAGATGGAAAATTAAAACTGTTTCATATAAAAACCCCACACAGAAGAGAGAAGAATATTGTTTTGCAAAATACTAAATTTTACAATATTTATATTTCAGATCTTGTCTGTACATGTAAATTATTAGCCGGATCTTATGTCTTCAGAAACTATAAAAGTTACCGAAAAGTTTGACAGTTTATACACTGATAGCACAGTTACATTTTGAAATGAAAAGAATAAGAAAATCCATAAGAAAATTAAGACTTATAATCTTGGTAAATTTATCTCTTTATAGTCATTACCAGTAACAGAACTGTGTGAACTCAGTGTAAATTCCAAAGTGTAAATTCCAAAGTATAAATTCCAAAGTGTAAATTCCAAAGTGTACATTCCAAAGTGTACTATCAACAGAAATAATCATACCATGTAGAGGATTTATTTTTACAATTTTTTCTCCCATGATTTTGTTTTGCTCCCTTCTTGACTGATTGTCTTATCTTGTTTGATATGGCCTTCTTTTTTTCTTTTCTTTTTTGTTGCTGTTATCATATCTCATGTCTTGTGATTATCTTTTTTTCTTTAATAATCTCGGTTCAATAAGTACATTATTATGAAACATATGATTCAGTAATATATATTAGCATCCTTGTCAATCTTTTTAATTGACCTTTTATTGCAGTTTCAGAGCTTTAGATTTGACAGCAACATGGAAATAAGGATCTGTTGCTTTCAAAACAGAAATTTGATACCTTGTATGATACTTACAACACCGGATATAATTGAAATTATTTCTTAACAAAAGAAAATGATAACCTAGCTAATGATTGTGCCTGATAGTGAAGCTTCTCTAGGCTAGCTAACCATGGATCACATGCATACCTTTTACCTTTTAAACCATTACTGCTGGGTACATGTACCATTGACTGCAGCTTTTTTTTTATTTATATATATATATTTTTAATTCTTGTATGCACATAGATGTCTCCACATGCAGTTAGCCACCAAGGAGCCAATTAGTATGCCTGTGTGACCAAACGTGATTCACTCATTCCTTGACTGTTTAGGATTTTATCCCCCTCATTCCTAATTATATCTATGATATTATTATTATTATTATTATTATTATTATTATTATTATTATTATTATTATTATTATTATTATTATTATTATTATTATTATTATTATTATTATTATTATTATTATTATTATTATTATAATTATTATTATAATTATTATTATTATTATTATTATTATTATTATTATTATTATTATTATTATTATTATTATTATTATTATTATTATTATTATTATTATTATTATTATTATTATTATTATTATTATTATTATTATTATTATTATTATTATTATTATTATTATTATTATTATTATTATTATTATTATTATTATTATTATTATTATTATTATTATTATTATTATTATTATTATTATTATTATTATTATTATTATTATTATTATTATTATTATTATTATTATTATTATTATTATTATTATTATTATTATTATTATTATTATTATTATTATTATTATTATTATTATTATTATTATTATTATTATTATTATTATTATTATTATTATTATTATTATTATTATTATTATTATTATTATTATTATTATTATTATTATTATTATTATTATTATTATTATTATTATTATTATTATTATTATTATTATTATTATTATTATTATTATTATTATTATTATTATTATTATTATTATTATTATTATTATTATTATTATTATTATTATTATTATTATTATTATTATTATTATTATTATTATTATTATTATTATTATTATTATTATTATTATTATTATTATTATTATTATTATTATTATTATTATTATTATTATTATTATTATTATTATTATTATTATTATTATTATTATTATTATTATTATTATTATTATTATTATTATTATTATTATTATTATTATTATTATTATTATTATTATTATTATTATTATTATTATTATTATTATTATTATTATTATTATTATTATTATTATTATTATTATTATTATTATTATTATTATTATTATTATTATTATTATTATTATTATTATTATTATTATTATTAATATTGACAATTATTATGCTATCATTGATAGTACTAATAGCAATAAAACATGTCTTTTTTGAAATTGAGTATAAGGGTGAACAGAGAGGTAGGACTAGTAATAGTGACTAATCACTTTGTGGAGCCATGTAAGTGTAAAAGCATTGAATAGATAAGCACCACAGTGGACAAAGAATGTGTTTTTGCCCTCCTGGCACCAGTGGGTTAAAATGGTCAAATTATACCATCTCAGGCAAATCATTCCTACAAGCAATTGATTATAGCTTACTGTACCTAAATCTCTCTCTCTCAAAATTTATTAACAGTTCAATCACCATGTAGAAGAAGTAAAACCTATTATCAAGGACACTGGGCCCCCTTCCTGGTCCATTAAAGTAAAAGACCTGAACTCCGGGGAAGTCTCAACTACTGTTTGTGATGCACTCCTTGTCTGCAATGGGTAAAGCATGATATTTTTCTATGTGCTGTACCTTAATTTAAGATTTGAATAACTTTTTTATTTGATAAATAATAATATGTTCCTGTTCTGTTGTAATTGCCATCTAAGGAATATAAGTACTCAATCTGTGTTTCTAGTTTTTGTCTTCCTTGCTGAATTATTTCCAAATAAGATTAGAGGAGATGCATTTACTACTACTTCTCAAAGATTTCATAAATTGTATCAAATTCTGTAGAAGCATTATATCTCAGCTCCTTAGGAAACCATTTCCTCAGAAACTCCATAGGCTTTCTAACTGCTCAGCTTCATTAAAGGACCATTTAGGCATATATCATTAATAACTTTATACCCTTTCAGGCACTTCTCCGTCCCACGAATCCC